AACTTTTTTTATTATTTCAAAGTTAATTTGTTTTTTGTCATTTTGAATCCACAAAATACTTTTTTGGGGCCAGCACTGATTGGCCAAGAAATCTCTCTGACAGCAAGTGATGGCCAAGTGGGGCGTGTCATCACAACTTTACACAAGTGCGTCTTTACCTCCGCGGCAGAGGCTCCGTCGAACCCCTGAGACCAGGTCATCGAACCCCTAGGGTTCGATCGAACCCAGGTTAAGAACCACTGATCTAGTTGAAATGCCATGCTTGTATCCTCCTGCAACCATACATGTTACAGTTTGATTTTACAATATTAAGTAAAAAGAAAAAAAACTATTGTTTTGACGTAGTTGTTTTATCATGAACTCCTGGAGGGGTTTAAATCTGGTTTGTTCCACTTGTTTGTTCCTCTTTGTCTTTCTGCTCCGGTGAGTTTGTCTTGGCGTTGCTCTCTCTCTCTCTCTCTCTCTTTCCTTTCCTCTAGCAAAGGCCAAACCATATTTACTTCACACACTGCGAGCCTTCCCTGCTCCGTGAAGCCAGCGGACCTGGCCGGGCTCATCATCGTCATCCTGCCTCATTCACTGTATGAATGATTGTGAACTCAACCTTCAGCAAATCCAGGGGCAACACTTCATTAAAAACAGCTCCAACCTTTTTGGTCCCGGCGGCTGCCCTCTGTCACTGTAAACCACTGGACATCAGGGGAACCCACACAAACAGGTATCGCCCAGCTGCTCTGTAATGAAATCTCTCTACTTCCTCGCAAGGGATATTCATCAGCATTCATGAAAAATCTACAGGGCAATGTTCCAAGTTCAACTTTTTTCTTTGAACTGCTGTTTCCTTATCTGTGAGTCAAGTGGCTTATACAAATTAAATAATAGCAGCCAGTATTTTGCTGAGAGGACTCTGGTGACACTTTTAATGTCTCCCTTTAAATAATAATTAACTTCTTGTTTTATTTTTTTCAATAATAGAGCATGTTGTCTTTGTCCCAGGAGTTGCATACCTCTCCTAAGATAAAGTGAAGTGTAATGAAAGGTCTTTTTATGCATAGCAAGATGTAAACTCCTGAATAAGTCTTAATTGTTACAAAATAACTATCAAAACACACATATTTAAAAGGTCAATAAAATGTTCAGTTCTCATATGAAACAGGTCATCGAGGTGCTGAAAGATAAACTCTATTGTGTTTTTTGTAAAAAACTGTCATTGCTAATATAAATTTCCACAAAGTCACATTATGGTATTCATTTCTGTGCAGTATTTTCACTTTGTCTTCAAGATACCACAGTTCCCAAGAGTTTGCAAAACCAAGCTGAATTTCCCATGTTCTTGGATGACTGTTGTCATAAATTTCAAAGATTTATCACAAAAATGGAAATAGCAGCCATCCATATTTTACACGTTTCTTCCTTTCAGGGTCACGGGGGTCACTGGTGCCCATATCCAGGAGCGCAGTTAAAATACAGCAGAATTAAAAAAAAAAAAAAACCACAAGAATTGTTAAAGCTCAGTTTGATGTATATTTGCGTAGCAACAGTGCAAAAACTCAAAAGATTGGAAGTTAACTTCACAGTCAGGTATTTTCACTAAAATGAATAAGATGCAAGTTGACCAACAGCGGAGCGATGCCTCTGAGCTACTATAGGCAATCAGCTCAAGCTTCACTGCTGCTTCACACATGTTTTGCCTCACACGCGACATGACATAACAGGCAGCTTCTTCCAATCTGGTTGGTCTCTTTCTCTGTCTCACATTTTGCATTTCTTTGCCTCTGTCTGCCACTGATGCTGCCTGGGTTGTTTCAGTTCACCTCAACACCCACAGCTTTCACCTGTTGGCACCGAGGGTGGAGATGCACCCATTGTGGCATGTTGAGAAACATCTTCATAGAAGTGATAGAATCAGAACCTAGATGCCAAAACCAAACTATATTTTGGAATAAATAGATTGTATAGGAGGCTGTCTGACAGAAACGTAGGTCCAAGTATTATTTTATAAGCAAGATATAGACTAGCCTGTATTGTCCTTTAAAGCATCTTTCACATTGATTATTATTAAAGGTTGTGAATTTTGCCATGCAAAAAGGAGAAGTGGTGGACTTTGCAGGATGGAAATGTAAAAAACACACAAGTCTCCAAAATGAACATGACCCCCTGTCTGCTTTTATTTATTTATTTATTTATTTATTTATTTATTTATTTATTTATTTATTTATTTATTTATTCAAGGTCAGTATGTTTTAAAAAATGAACACAGCAGGGCATTTTGTTTAAGACAAGTTAACATCTCATGGTTCAGTCATTTGTTGCTGCATTTAGACCAGTTTCTGAATGAGTTTGATCACTTCGGTCAAGCTGCAAGACAACACTCAGGGTATTGTTTTAAAGATTTTTATTTTTTTTTATTGGTTTGGAATGACCAAGTTGTTCTAAAAAACTAACCAATTTCTAACTTTAAACAGAATTGTTAAAGAATCTGAAGCTGACAGCTGAGCTGATGTGCAGCACCGGTTAAAATGCATTAAAGATCAAAAGAAGTTCAAACCAGATGCTTAAATATTAAAATGTTAAATAATATAGGCAGTAGTAGATAACTAATAAATGATAGTAAATCATCAAGTATGTTTTTTGTCTCCTTTTTATTTTATTTTTTATCTACTTTCAGACAAAAGTCAGTCTCTGACAATGTGCTGTGCTTGTTCAGAAAGTGTGTATATGTAGTATATTAATATAAAACAGACTTTAAGTTGAATGTATGGATTTATTCTGAGGGCTTTAAAAAACTAATCAGCGCCTCTTTCTGCTTGACATCCCCACATTTTCACACATCATCAGTGATCGTACACTAGGGCACTAAGGAGATCTGTAGAGGTAATTTAGAAAGATGGGAACTTCTTTTCATTGCCTTTTAAAACCAAAGTTTATCAAACACCAAAAGGAAAATTATGTATAAAAATGCAGCCTGTTGCTCTAACACAATAGGCTGAAGTGGAATGACATTTTCTTTCATACAAGTCTCCACTCAGTGGTCATATGGACTCTACCTTCAGACCGGAGTTTTTGCGCATGCGCAGGCGTCCCATCCACATGTCGGTCAGCAGCATCTGACTGCAGGTGTGAGCGATGAAGTCTCGGTGTTTGGCTGCTACTGCCAGCTGCAGGCAGGTGGCGTTGCTCCAGTTTTTCAGCTCATATGTCAGCAGCTTCATGGCCATCTGCTCATCCTGCTTATAGGACTGATCGAGGAGCTCCACCGCCAGCTGGCCAAACTCTCTGTGAACATGAGCAGAACTCAATCAGACAGTCTTTAAAAGGAACAGTTGTTTATTTTGTTCACATGTCAAAATCAAACCACGCAAGATGACACTGATCATCTCGACAAATTCCAATGGTAGTTAGATTTGGGTCTTTGTACACACACTGACATGTTTTTTATCATGTATTACGTGTTATAGAAAAAAAAACAATATGAACTATGAATTTTTATGAAGTGCATGCCCTCTAAGCAGTGTGTGTGTGTGTGTGTGTGTGTGTGTGTGTGTGTGTGTGTGTGTGTGTGTGTGTGTGTGTG